TATATATATAGTAAAAAGTATACAGTGAAATTGAATAATAGAATTTTAAAGCGATCCCCAGATAGACATAGACACGGTGCATCTTTCATGATGAATAAATTTCATAAAAGGCTTGAGGAATGTATCAATGTATCAGCAGCTGCCATGTTATTAATAACATAACTTAGGAGATTAGTGCCCTGTATCAGACACATTCAATATTTCTTGATGAAGGCATGCCGTAAGTTGAATCGGTTTTTGTTTCTGCAGCCTGTCGTTCAATGCTAGATAGGTCTACTTGGGTCTATTTTGTCGCATGTTCTCCCTCCAGTGGATCTTTCCGCAGTGGCAATCAGGCCAGGAATACGCACTTTGTGCACAAGCACGTGTTTACGTACTTTCAGCTGTTTTTTAGGACCGTCTTTTAATATCCAAGTGGCGGGGATTAGTGAAATGGTTCAATAAAGACCACCGCTTTCCAACCGGGGCTTTCATGATCTTTATCATCTAAGAATGATACATTTTAAGAGAGTTACTTTACAATGATATACAGGATCCGATTCCAAATATCTCTATTGCCTTCGAATCTATGATATTAAAACGTCATTGAAATCTGGCATATGCATATTTGGTTATGTTAAGCATTATTTTCATATTAATTAGGGCTTACTATCGTTTTATTATATTCTGTCAAAGTTGAAAGTGAGATATTTCGATTGTTAATCCGTTAGAAGTGATTATTTCGCAATTAAATATTCCTGTTTATCACCAAATTAAATATATTTCCTGATAGCATTACGGGCCATGCTGCACGTACACCATTACGCTACTTGCTGAAGTGGTTTCAATATTGCCTTTGTTTTCCGTGTTTAGAGCTGGGATTGCTATCATCATGGTTTGCCTAATGTTTACTCTACTTTAATGTTAAGTTAAGGTCTGCGATAAACCACACTGTTTGAAGTGTTTGCACAAAGCGTTTAATGTTGACTAAATACAAAGTATTAAGTATTGCGCACCCGTCTCTCAGAGACGAATAGGCTATACTGTATGAGTTAACCTTCAAACAGTCTCGCTATCAATCCAGAGAGGTGTATGAGAGATATGAAACACCATAGGGCCTGCGCCTACCAATGTTTAATTGCCTTGATATCATTTTCTGGCATAATTTCTAGACGGTATTAAAAGTAATAATTTCCATGAACGGCTTCATCCATAATAATGAAAGAGATTTAGTCTTTCTATGCTTCTTAAAGAAATGTGATTGGGTGTACTAATTTCTTTTCATACCTCCATGGTATGATACAGAGCAGGGGCGGGTTTTTTTTGGGGGGGGGCCTGGCCCCGGTCCCCCTTTTGGGAGGTAAAAAAAGGGGAG